TTTGTAAAAGTCAAACGTATAATTTACAGGAGACGAACATTTCTAATCTAAAGTAAAATGTCACTGGTTCGGAACTTACCAATCTCACAATTATTAGGGTATTGAGATATCTCATGGTTGTCCTTGGAACATGGCTGGCTGCAACCTTGAACAGAGGGGAAGCAGCATGCCATTACAGCATAAATGATGACATTGTCCTTTTTTGCCGTACTATTGTCGACCCAATCAGATGCGTGCTTTGTCTGACAAAATTTTGGCCTTTAAAATACACCTACTGGTGGAATAAAGAAAGTGAAGGGACAAGGTTAAATGTTAATTTTTGTTTTTAATTTTTAAGGTTTTGTATAAGTTTTATTTTTTTAATTTTATATATATAGTTATAAAATATATATTTTTTTAAATTTTTTTACCTGTTAATTTATTAAATTTATTTAAATATACATATTTTTAACTTTTTAACTTATAATATATATTTTTACTTTTTTAACTTATAAAATATACATATTTTATATTCTTAACTTTAAATTAAGAGATTAAAAATTTATATATTTAGGTCGACTTAATAGAATAATTGATAAAATAACTAAAAAAATATACTTTTCATATTTAAGGAATTATAAAAAATTTATTAAAAAATTAAAGGATAAAAATTGTGTAAAACTTAAAAGTTGAGGGACTAAAATTGATATTTAATCAATGGACAGAGAAGGGAGACTTTGTCTGCTACTATTGACAACCCTGCAGGTCAAGGAGCCTTGCATTCACCTCTCAACTTCACAATATTGATATTCTCTTTGTCAGCTAAGCAAATCCAGACTCCATGCACATCCCAATTCCATGAAATGAGGTAAGAGATATGGTTTTAAGACATGTGAATAAGGGGCCCCAGAAGGAAGAAGATACACAAAAACAAAGGAAAATACAATCAAAACAAAAACCAGCATTTTCCACCATTTGCCTATTTAAAATTTTAAATAGACATTTCATCAAATGAATCTGCCATTTTGTGTGTGTGTGTGTGTGTTTTTTTTTTTTTAGATGAGGTAAATCCTTTCCTTCCAACTTTTAAATTCCTTTTTTTTTTTTGCTTAGATTTAATTCAATTCAATTTATCTGTCCAAGGGAAGGGACATTGGTTTGTGAGTCTATTTTCCTGTCTTATTTTACTACACTGGATCCTCTTAGGAGGATGATATTTGCCAAAGCTACTGGCAGCTTCAAATTATATCTTCATTTTTGTTTTTAGATATTAGATATGACCAATAAGAACTTGATCAAGTTACTACTTATTAACTTAAAAACCTTGGTTTGAAATTAAGGTCAGAGGTTTAATGTTGTATTATTGAATAAATAACTTTCTAATGTACCCAAAAAAGAAAATGATGATAAAAACAAGGCCATTAGCTCAAAATGTATTAACTTGTTTGAGACAAGGAGGTTTTAAAGGTTAAAAACAGCTGCCAATATCTAAAGTTCTATCAAACTCGAGGCAAGGTAAACATTTTCAGATGAGCATGATAAGGAGACAAGAAAGCCGGAAGAAATCACATAAACAACCTTTCTGAGTTGAAATATAAGAAGGTAATGATCAAGTTGAAAAATGGTTCCTATTTTGCAGACTGAAATGGCAAAATAACTATCACAAATTGTACATTTCCAGAAACACGTCTAACCCCGGTGGTATAAAAGAAAGTCTCAGCATTCAAGCACACTAAAGATGCCAGCTCAACTGCAGAAGTTTTATCAAATTCCATCTTCGCAATCAAAATGAACAGAAAAGGCATGTTATGTTGAGACGTGCAATTGATTCATACTCAGTATGGATACCTGCTTCGATCCCGATCATGGTCCCTTTCTCGTCCATAATCTCTATCTTGATAATAATCATAGTCACGGTCTTGATCCTTTCCCCTGTCTCTCTCTCTGCTTTGACTGCGGTGCCTTTCCTGATGGTCACATTCTCTGCTCCTGTTGCTTTCTCTATCATCCCATTCCCTTCCTGTATCTCTCAGCCTTTCTCTCTTCCATCTCTGTCAATTACACCTGTTAATAACAAAAATTCAATCAACTCAGACAACCACATCATAATATTTGATATCCAGAGGAGATAACAATCGAAGAAATGGTAACTACCAAGTTCTTCAACCTCCCATCCAGCACGCCCAGAACCTGCTTTTCCAGCTTCAGCTGCTTGTGTTTTGGCACGGAATTTCTTCTTGAGATTTCCAAACTCATCATACATCTCACCATCATCCTGAGATAAGATTGTAGTAACTGTCAAATTAGTATGTTCAATTCAATGAACTTCAGAGTACGATAACACAGGTATATCATACTTCTTCTGCCTCCTTTCGACGTTGCCTAGTTTCCTCTATCTCTTCTTCATCAAGTTCTTTATAACCATCACCACGTCCTCCTCTGTTAAGCAAAATTTTAAGCAAATGTAAGTTCTAATTTTCGCATAGCTTGAGAAAGTTATTTAGAAACTTGATATTATGGAGAGAACAGTGATGACAATAGCCGTGCTACATCAACATTACTGGAATTAGTGAAGCTGAATGTTGAAATTTGGAGAGAAGTGTTTGAGTCGAGTACCCTTGAACTTGACAGGCAATTATAATAGTCCTAATATCCCTACCAGATTTCTTTCAATAACCAAAACTAAAAATAAGATACATGAAATGAAATAACTGCCATTTTAGGCATTGCCATAACAGATGTAAAGGAAAAGACGAAAAATTAGCAATAAGGAATACTATAAGTCTTAAGAAAATAGAGATCTATTCTTGCACAGGAAAAAGCTCAAAATCACCAGAAGGACCTGCTGTTATAAAAAAGAAAAGCTGTAAACAACAGACCTACATGAGAATATGGAGGACTCAACCAATCATAACAGATGATAAATCAAGAAGATTTTATGAAAAAAACTAAGATTAAGAGATGTCCAATAATAATCATCATACCTCACGCCACCCTCATTGTGACCGGGTTTATTGGTGTTGCAAATATTGCACTTGGTACGCTTTCCCCAGTTGATATTGCCACACCTGGAAGACGAAAAGGCCAATCCAGCAACGTTACTTAAACTTAGTCACCATGACAGAATCAAAGTTACAGAGCATGCCAAGTAGGCTTAAGTGTTGCAAGTCTTACATAGGACAAGGCCAATCATTAGGGCCAAATAGTCCACCAGAAGCACCAACTGCCCAGCTATTACTCTGGGGGTTTGGATCTCCATAACCCCTACCAAAGTCACCAGCCCCTCCACTTCCAGAGGCGCCAGTAGGTCTGGCAGTTCCACAACGGTTGCAGACACCTTGAAAGGCAAAGTTGACATTGGAGCAACTGGAAACAAAAAGAAAAGAAAAACATGAGGAAGTACCTAATTGCAATCATAGCATTGAAAAAAATTAAAACAATGTCATAAAAGAGAAAGAAGGAGCTGCTCACCAATATCACATCACAGACCTTGTATTTGGACACAACCAGTCTACCACCTGCTGCCATGCTTTCCCATCTCCCCGGCCTCTACCTCTTCCAGCAACCCCTTTCATATCTCTAGCATTTTCCTCAAGTCCACCTAAATCTCCAGTAACATTTGGATCTCCCACTGCATTACCGTTCTTAGACTCTGCTGTAGCAACTCCAATTGTACTACCATGAAAATCCTTACTGTTAACCACTCAACTGCAGCCAATGCAGCATGTGGGTCCTCATATGTAACTGTTGCATCTCCCTTTGGTTCATTAGTTGCTTTATCTTGGTATAATCATATCTTTGGTCGGCCAGTTTGCTTATCTTTCTGCAAAGAAAAGAGCCCAAGCCCAGACACGATTAGAGCAAATAAAGGGAACATGTGACCTTTGGAACACCTACATACACACAAATAAAACAAAAACCACACTAGAAGTTTATTAACAAAGCATGAAATTCATCTCCCCACCTTTAGCAACCCAATGGTTCCAAAATATTCACCCAACAGAATTTCATCTGTTCCAGGAGGCAGATTAGAAACATAGATATTACCGTTCGAAGGAGTTCCTTTTCCTGAGTTTTCCATTGGTCTCCAATTTCATAAACCAACACAAACAGATCTAGCAGCAAGCTCTAGAATAAGACATACTAAATGCTTAGCTGGATGCAACACTGGAAAAACAAATTGAACTATAGCAAAAAAGGCCAGAAACTCACATACAAGTATTATTAAATGATCCAATAATCCAAGTGCTCCAATCAGTTCAAAGGGAAATGAACATAAAGCAGTCAACTTTCTAGTGTCTGGTAGAGTAAAACTCATAAGAATAATTAACAGCAGTAACAGAAATTGAATGAAAAATAATACTAAAGATGCAACAACATGCGTGCCGTATAAACTGAAACCCAACTTCTGCAAGGTAGCCAAACTCCCCAAAGTAGTAGTTCCAATGCAGCTACCAAAGCCAGCTATGGAAGCATAATTCACAGATAAACAAGAAGACATATCTTATTGGATTAGCACAGAGAAAGAAGGTACATAATCAATCTAGGGATTATAGTTTTGTGTAAATCGGAATGTTCAACTACAAACATTGAAATTTTACCCAGAAAAATGAAGCATACAAACTACAATTCGAAATGACAATAGTAAAATCACTAAAAGGACTAGATAGGATATAACTAAAAATGCAATCGACGGCAACAAGAAATTTCAATGAAGACGAATTTTTTCCGGCGGAAGGATAGAGAGAGGGGGAGAAGAGGTAGAAAAGGCGAGAAATCTAAATAAGCAGTGGGAAATTGAAAATAGAGCAAGAATGTAGTCTCACTAGCTAGCGGTCTCCAGAGATGCAATGGAGGTCGTGATTTAGTTGCCGCCGGCAGCAGCGTCGTCAGAGTACGGCTGCAAAGGAGCTGTAGAAGGTGGCTTCCGCTTTGGATTTGGCTCCTGTCATTTCGTCTAAGATTTCTTTTATGACTGGAATACCCACTTTGCCCCTTATTATTATTTTTTTAAACGTTTTAGCCCCCTCAAACTTAGCTTATTTATTTTATTAAGATTCTTGAGCTACTACACCTTAGGACTCGTTAATTAAGGCTGAAATACTGATGATCAATTGGTTTGCATGGAAAGAATTTGATTCCCCTTAAATAAGATCTAGAGTTTGGCTCTTATGAATAGAAAAATAAATATTAAAAAAGATTTTTTTTAATGAGATTTGACGCGACTCAATTTTGTATTAATCGGATCTAACATAGTTATCCAATATCGAAAGATTAGTAGAAAAAAAAAATTAAGACCTGAAATTAACGATGGAGGTAGAGGTACGTCTACTTCATATATATGCTTGTGCATATTACATTAGCCTT